ATTCATTTGACATTCTTAAATTTACATTCCGACTTCCAAATATCTACCCAGGATTGAGGTCTTTTATGCTAAACATAATGGAATTTGAATTAGAAAACTTATTCAAGAAAATCATCTTTTCCTGAAAAATCCAAATTTTCCAGGAAAGAAGGAAGATCTGCCGATTATGAGAAAATTCACAGTTTTCTTCTCTGGGTCATGAGTCTATTTCTTCACCTTACTTAAGAAACAGCTAATTCATCTAGTCCCGGGTTCTATGATTAGGAGATTGGACAAAAAGCTAACGCTAGCTCGGTCACACACGGTTCTTATTTAAAAGGGAGGAGACTGATTCTAGAGAACGCTGTTATCAAGATAAAGACAGTAAAAACTGGATTCCCACACCATGCAAACATATCCTCCATTGGTTCCACACCGAGTAAAGTGGCCCCAGGCATTGCCAGAGTGTCATGGTGTGACGGAGTCCTGTGCTGCTAGGCTCAAAGACTGATTCTCCATGAGTGGTCATGGAGAATCAGATAAACATGTCACTTAGTTTCTGGGAGTCCCAGAGTCTGGCCTTTAAAAGTAGACATCTTAGATAGCAGCATTATGATCCATACTTCATATAATAACACAGAAAGCTAATGAATTTAGAAGTGGCACAGTGGTCTTGAACTCAGAGCACGTGTTAGATAAAGCAGCTTTAAAGGACTTTTTTTTTTGGTGTTAGACTCTTAGGCTAATAACTTCTAAGAAAAATTTATTATTATTATTATTATTATTATTATTATTATTATTATAGACTTGCACTTTCTTTCCTTTTAGCTGGTTCTTTCACTGAAGGGACTATGTCACCTGTTTTCTTTCCCTGCATCCTCAGCCACTGTGCCCAGCACAAACAGCCAAGAAATATTTTCTAAATGAATGCGTTATTAATTTTTAATCAGAAAAGCAATCATGCTAGATTTTGATGCCTTTCGAAAAGATGCTAAAGTAGGTAACCATCAAAACATACCATTGAACAACACTTTCACTTAACAAAACAAAAGCCCCTAAATTCACAACGACTCCCCTTCCCCATCCCCCCCCCATGCCCCCAGAAATTTCTAAGGGCAAAAGGACAAACGTTAGGTTGGCATTTGGGGGCCTGTGTCCTGTTCAGAGGCCACAGAAAAGTCTAGGTACAGAAGCCATTGGTCTCACTCACATACACAGTTCTCTTGTAGCACAGGTGTTATTTCTTCAAAGGAAAAAAAAAATCAAACAGCAGGGGAGTTTACAAATATTTGGCTTAGTTGTAATAAATAAAATGAACATAGTAGAAAATAAGATAACACTTTGTTTATTCTGGAACTCACCTTAATTTCACTTCATTCTCCCTAGAGCCACCAGAATCCCACGCAGTCTCGTTTAAGACCTGACTCTGAACGCTCGAAATTTTAATGGTTTGAAATACTAACACTTACGACTAGTTTTTTGGGGATTTCTTTCCAAGAATAATATGCAGAGTTTTTGTTCTTGCTTTTGTTTCTCGTGTGGAATATAACGGCTGATTTTGTATGTTAAATAAGGCACGGGTCCAGTTTAAAATACTTGCGAGTAGCTGAATGTCCTCAAAACAACACAGGGTTATGGTCAAACATTTGTGAGGTGACTGAGGGGTGGGAAACAATGTACATTTCTAAGGCCATGATGTTTATTAAGCAAAAATGGGCTGAAATCCAGATTTGGCCTAAGCTACACTCACGCTTATCTTATTCTTCAGACTATGGATTCTGAAGGGAAAAAATATCTCCTTGCAATATTCATGTTAGGAGGCTCCTTGACATGCTTTCAAAAAATCATTGAGGAACGTGTGCCGAGCAGATTAAGCACCTGCGTGACATCTTCCCCTTCTCATTTAAAACAGCTCTTCTGATACGGGGACTTCAGGAGCTACATATTTCAATAAAGCAACATGGAATTTTATAATGAGTGTGTAAAAACAAAAGTAGACGAGAGTCTTACTTTTGAGTTTAAAAAATAAGAATTAAACACTTTTTTTCCTTGATACATACAGAGTCCATCCTTACGAAGGAAACAAAGTTCGTGTTCTTTCACAGACATGAATGAATAATTACTGCAAATAAAACACATCCAATTAGATTTTGGAATGTAGTTTAAAAAAGAAAAAGGTTTGGTCATTTTCTTTAAGTTATTTAAAGACTGACCTGAATAAATATTTTTAAGCAAAGTTTTTAGCAAACCCACTTCGGGATTTTTTTTTTTTTTTTAAACTGAAAATTAAATTCTTTCAGCAAAGATTTTCAAGTACAGTCCTGATGGGGTTCTTACTTTCCTTAAAATGACAATTTTAAAGAATTAAGCATAACTAGGGGGTATAGAGAATACAGATTAATTAAGCAGGACATCTCTGGGTTTATTTTTTTCTGATTACACCTGCCAATCGAGCCCGCAGGGGAGGACACAGGAGCCTCTGGCCCTTGGGTGTGGGCCGTGCACAGGGACCCCCTGCCAGGACCTGGAGGGGCAGGGACCGGGCAAACAGGACCTCAGCGAGGTGGCCGAGGCCAGCGCCACACAGGTCTCGTCGATGGTATGCCGCAAGGACAATGGCACTCTACGTCAGTAACCCCCTCCCCCAAACCCCTCGCCCCAGTGGGACCATGATCAGGAAACCCGACGAACCCCGACAGGGGGGCGTCCCACCCGATATCTGACCAGTGCTCCCCCAAACTGCCAAGGTCATCGAAAGCAAGGCAAATGTGAGCGACCGTCACAGCCAAGAGACGCGACGGCCGAATGGCACGCGGCGACCTTGGAGCAGTGACACAGAGGAGACCTGAATTACGCGTGGACTCTCAGTGCCGGGCCGTTGACGGCGTGAGGTCTTGGTGACGGGGAGACACGGGCAGGGAGGGACACGGGGGGCGGGGCGGGGCGGTGGGACTCGGCACTTCCTTCGGGGTTCCCCTGCAAACCCCAGACTTCTCCAGGACACAGTCGATTATTTCAAAAAAGGAGATTTGAAATGATTTAGCTAAGTATTAGTTAAGCATTTAGACAAGTATTAGTTAAGGAAAAAAAAAAAAAGACTGGGACATTGTTTCTATCGGGACAGTTTATGCGGCATGTGGCTCTCTGGGGGCAGAGCCTAGGAGGCCCAGGCTGTGAAAATGGTTAAAGTGTCTCGTCTGTAAACAGTGGTCATTCATTTCACATTGTCATTCAGCACTTCGTGTATCTCACCGCGTGAAAGATAAATGTGGACCTTGATACTTTTTGAAAAACGTGGCGCGGTATCCACAGGAAAAGCTTTTTTAACTGAAAAAAAAAAATAAAAAATAAAGAACTTTGTCTAATAGTCAATGAATAGAAAAAGGCATAATTGCTCTGTAGAACACTTATAACGTATCGTTCAGAATTTACAAGTAATTCCATAAATTATTTAAGTAGGCTGAGTACAGGCGTAAGGTTAAGGCAGTTAGTGGGGTAACGGTGTCAGCAGTTTGAGGGGGGCTCTGAGAAGTTCTGACATCTGGATCGGTTCGCGTTCAACCGGACTGGTAGAGCAGCTACCGTAGCGAGGGTTGTAAATGCAGACTTAGTTTAAATAAAAGGAATGGCATGAAGCACCAAATACTGGGAAATCACGTTCGACCTGTACTTTCCACCTATATATACAAACCGGTACCTGACTGAGCACAGTAGAGTCACCTTCACACTTAAAAACCAGAGGATGATCTACACCCGCGAGTGAGCGAGTAACGTTCCAGAGGAAAAGTGATTTTTTCAGACAGTAGCGAGAGTTGTCATCCCCACACATACTGATCTACTGGCTCGATCACTAGGAATCTTAACATGTCCCTCCGGGAGCTCGGATGCGGGACACTGAGTCTGCGTGGCTGGTTTAAGCCTGGTTTCCACTCGGGTTCTCTTCTGAAATGTTTAAGTCTTGCTCGAGGGCGGATGTCACGTGACAGAATGACCCGACTTCGGGGAGCAGTGCGACACCCCTAGGAGTGTCCTCGGCTTCCTTTCCGTCTTTCTCCCAAGGCACGGAAGTCGACGGGTGTCGCCCGAGGCCGGGGGTCGGTGGATCCTCTGAGACCTGGCTTAGTGTTTCGTTCGCTTCCGTGTTTCCTCTTCGACTTTGGGACATTTCGGCCGAGGCGAGCTGGACGCTCGATCCCGAAGGGGACGCTGGCTGTCGCACGGCCGGGGCCCCGCTCGGGTCATCGACGCCGAGGGCTTTGCCACCGCCCTCCTCTTTCAGGATGAACAGAGAGTCCGTCAGGCCGCCGGCGGACACGCGCTTCCTGGGGGACGGAGGGAGGTGGCGGCCGTGGAGGGCGCTGTCGTCTTGCCCGGCGTGCCACTCCCCCTGGTCCCCGGAACCCCCGCACAGCACGGCCAGGTTGCTCTCGCTGGGGGTGTTGGATTTATTCTGAAAGAGGAAACAACACAAGCGGAAATTTTTTTTATATATATATAAATTTAGAGTATGACTTTAGCAATAGTTTCTTCCATTTTGAAATCAATAGCGATTTCTGTTCGGGCTGGGAACTGGAAGGTCCTTCCAGGGGACATAGAGCGTTGACAGATCCTTCTGATGGCTCCGTCGACAAGAAGGACGCTGCTTTCCATGTCCTTGCAACGGCCACCTATACAACCCAGCTAGATTGCAAAGGTGGGCGAGGCTCAGGAGAAAAGGGAGCCTCGGGCATTGCTGGGAATGGATATCGGTGCAGCCGCCGAGGGAAACAGTGTGGGATTCCTCAAAAAATGAAAAAGAGAACTGTGGTCCAGCAAGCTCACTTCTGGGTGTTTCCCCGAAGGAAAAACAATCGGTATCTTGAAGCTACAGCTGCACCCACCTGCTCGAGGCGGCACATTCCCAACAGCACAGATGTGACAGCGCTTGAAATGCCCACTGGTGGATGAATGGATTAAAAAAAATAAAATGCGGTGTATACACAGGACGGAATATTATTCAGCCTTAGAAAGAAGGAAATTCTGCCGTTGGCGACAACGTGGATAAACCCAGAAGACACTCTCCGTGAGATAAAGGATACTACACGACCCCATTTCTAGGTGGAATCCGACGCAGTCAGACCCATTCAAGTAAAGAGCAAAACGGGGGTCACCAGGGCCTGGGGTGGCGGGAGAAACGGGGCGACACTGGTTGCCGGGCACCGTTAGAGTAAGTCGTGAGGGTCCTGACACACAGCAAGGCGACCACGCTTAACGACACCGCGCCAAACACTGGGGTTCGCTGAGAACGTGGGTGTGAGGTGCTCTCACCTCAAAAAGGAAAAAGAAAAAAAAGAGGAAGGAAAAGAAAAGGAAACGGTAACTCTGAGATGCTGGCCACCCTGACGAGCCTGACAGCGGCAACCGTGTCACATGCACACGTGACCATGTCACAGTACACACGGGCCCGAGGCCACCGAGCCTGAAACGCACGTGGTTTCTGTCTGTCATACTTCAACAGCGCAGAAAATAAAGTAAAAAAAAAAAAAAAAAAAAGGATTTGCCAAAAACAGCAAAACACTCACAAAAAACAGACGGGCGCCTACAGGGTAGAATCAACGCCAAGTTCACGAATTACTGGCAGTCACAACAGCGCTGCCAGCCCTCGTATTTTTAAAACCTTCTGTTCCATTGGTTCAAAGCATTGTTCATTTCTGAAGCACTACAATAAAAAATTACTTGAAAAAAATGGGAACATTTCACGATTTAAAAACTCTCTAGAAAAGACGAGTATAAAAGTAGATCGTCAGAAAAGAGTATTGCTTGACAAAAGAATTTCAATTCACAACAACCGCCACCAGAACTGGATAAGTAAAATGGAAAATACTGAAAATCTATTATTGGAAATAACTCATAATGATGAAATTTTACCGTATTTTTGAAGTTTTGTCACTTATCTGTTAGAGGTTCGATGCTTCTACAAACTGAGTGATACCATTCAGTCTGAAAGAACATCCTCATCTAATTTTATAATTGGAAAGTCAACTAACCGTGGGTTTGTAATCGATATCATCCATCGACCTGAAGAAGTCCAAGCTCTTAGCCGCTGCCAGCTTCCCTTGATCGGAGCTGTGTGTGCTCAGCGTATCGAGAATCTCTCCCAGTAAGTCCATTTCGCCCGAGTAAGGCGCCTTCCCTCGCGTTTCGGCAGAATCGTCACTTTCGTAGAAATAAGCAGAAGCTTCTTCGCCATCTTCAGATGATAACCTGGAGAGAAACGCAATGTGCACTGGTGATCACACGTGCCGCAGGTGAGCAAGCTCTCGTGACTTCGGTGACACGCTCCACGTGTCAGGGGAACCGTGAGAAGATGGAGAATCGGTTCATGGCCGAATTCTTCACGGCGACGTGTACACAGTTCGAACACGGACATTTTGAGGGTCTGCATTAAGGACAGATGGACGAAGAGTCTGCGGGGCCCTGATCAATCAGGGAGCGGAGGGGGGGCTCTAACTCGGGGCCCTGGGGACAGCAGCCTTGGAAATGGCAGACTCAGCCCTTGGGGCGTCTGCTACGGTCCAAGTTCACTTTCGGTATTTTTCTGTTTTTCCTTTGATCTATGTGTCCATCTGTCTTAGACAAGAATGCACATCCCTTTATACAAAAATAAACTTCATGGAGGAAAAGGGCGCCGTGGCCGTCCCTGCCTATCTCAGAATCGTTAAGAAGTCAAACTCATACTATTATTATTTCCCTTATTTATATTGAAATTAATTTTTAACGCTTTGGGTTAAACTTTCCTCTTCTGATAGGGCCATAGCCTGTGAGTCCCTCCCTCTCCCCTGACTCTGTTTGTCCTGTTTAACTGTGGTCCCTGTTCCTGTCCCTTCAGGAGGAGGGCGGGTCTAACTCGGGGTGGCTTCTGCCCCCGTCACGCAACCCCACAAGGTTCCGTGGGCGCTGCTGCTTTCCCACCTCAGGGCGTAACCCCCGTGGGACAGACCGCAGGGGGCCCTGGGCTCCTTTCGCTGTTGCGATGGAGCGGATGTCCCCAGGGTGCATCTTCTGTGACCTACAGCTGCCGCCAGGAGTCTCCCCCACTCCCCGCCCCCCGCTTAGCAGGACGGCAAAAGCCGCGACTGACTTGCTCGCTCTCTCCATGTCATCGTCCTCGTGGTCACACAGAGCGCCCTCCGGGCTCTTCAGGGGCCTCCTCGAGCGTGCCTGCAGAGGGGAAATGACAATAAGGTGGCGCGGGCCGTTAAAACGCAGCCCTTTCCCACGTTTTAAAGCAGCAGTTTTATCGGATAAGGGACGCTTTCGAAAGCGACATGCAGGGTGTTTGAACGTCACCCGATCACTCGACACGCCTCGCGGGGAGGACGGAGAGAGTCACACGCTATTCATCTCAACTCTCACTCGCGCTGGCACTGAGGCTCACGGAACAGTCACGGGCTTGAGCGTGTGTTCGCGCAGGCGCGGTCGCCCGGTCTGTCGCTCCCCGTTTTGGGGAGACCTGACTTACAATCAATTTGAATTCAAGATGAAAAAAAACGGTGGCTTATTCAACAAAAGCATCATCAGCCGCCGAGCTTGTTTCTGGCGGGGGCTGAGATCTGGGAGCGGTGCTTTCGTGGACATGAAGGGACCGTGCCCAGAACCCACAACGCAGGGCGAAAAGGCCTGGTCGCGACTCTGTGACTAGAACTCTTTCTGGGTAATTGGTGGCAAATAAGCTTCGACTGCACAAAATACATCACGTGTTCTTGAGGGGGGGAACACATAGCCAATCACGGTCCGCCTTTATCTGGAGTCAGAAATCACAGAGCTGTCATTATCAGAAGCCTGCCCACGACACGGGCCAGAAACTAAACATAACTAAGAAAGGGAAAAATAATCTCAGTACACACAATAAAGATTAAAAACACATTTTTAACGTCACCGGCTATCGCTTTTGGGAAGGGGTGTGCATCTTCTTACCTCTCTAACTAAAGATAATAAACAGAGGCCAGTGCCGGCTGAAGGAACTGTGTATATTGTACGTATTCAGAGAAAAATATCACCCTGTTTCAGACCTAGACAGAAATCTCACAGGAACAAGCGCACGAGGGGCGAGTTTGAGGTCGACACGTTCATCGTCAATCATCACCCGCAGTCCCTGAAATAAGCACGAGACGGTCCTAACACGGCCTAAATTTGGGGACAGATGCTTTTTTTTAAAAACAAAGAGCGATTATGAAATACATGAAGAGATACAGCTACGAGCAGTCGACATGGTGAAAACGTTGAGAAAAAGAAAAAGTAAATAAATTGATTTCCAGGAAAAAAAAAACAACCCTATAAAGATTTTTTTTAGACTTCTGCTACACGATGCGACATAGCCCACGCGCCTGGAAAATCGGCTGACGTCACAAGTCAGCTGCCTCCTGTCGCCTGGGTATTTATTCGTTTTTTGCTGTTACTTAAACTTTTCTCTTTTCTGCGCTTTGAAACGTATGTAGCTTTTTCCATAAATTTTTATGAAAGAGGGGGAAAGACTTTTTCTTTTCTTCCCGACCAGAGTACTAATAATAGCCAGGTTTCTTTAATTTATTGCCACAAGAAACAAGTTTGTAACACTCTTTTTTTGCTGCTTCCAACACTTCGGGAGCATTAATAGGCTGTAACGACATTTTCTGGGTGTCCATAAAGTTAGCCGACAGCCTCTTTTCATTATAAAATGCAAGCTTTTCAAATTCTGATATTTTAAAACATGATTAACATTTTAGGAAATGAGGGATTACAGTTAATTAAGTCACAGAAGGGAAAAAAAGAGTTAGATATTTTAGTCCTTGGTATACGACTGATTTTTACGATCTCAGGCAAAATCCTTTGTTCTATTTGTTTGATGGACATTGACACTAGCAATCAACTCTAACCTGGAGATTAATAAGCTGGAGATTAATAAACGCTTAAATAACACCTTATTTCGGTAGATCATACTCAAAACAATGCACGTATGCCATTTCTGCCAAACAAAATACAACGATTTCGACCGTCAGAATATCTCACGATACACATGAAATAAGAAATACAAGTAAAATTCATCAAGAGGGTGTCTCTCCATCCTTCAAATCATCATCATACAATTTCATTTTTAAAACCTAAATATGCATTTGTCAGAATGTGCCTCAACATGTTGCTTTTTTTAAAAAAAACTCCTTGTATCTGGTAATTTTATTCCCTTGATCGATTAAAAGCATTAATTTCCCTCAAGATAAAGGTCAAATTCCTTGGCATTAACTGGACTCCCATCCAAACGTGGTCACGATTTACCTTTGTGCCTTCATTTCCTGTTCCTCTCATGCGCACTGGCCACCACCCGCCACCTTAGCCACAGCAGTGACTTGTCAGCTGCCACTGGGAGTCACTGTCCATATGTCTCTTCTCCTTTCCTGCAAACACCCCACCTTCCTTCCACACCTGACTCAGGTGCAGCCTCTGCAAAGCCTTCTCTTTAGCCGGTAAGCGTGCCCTGGGTTTGGCAAACATTTGGCAGACGGCTGGCCGGTGTTCTTTGCTGATGTGCCTGCCTGTGCCGTGACACTCTGCACTCTGCGAGTCGGGCCCACACCTCACCTGGTGGCACGCAGGTCTGCACCAGCCGCGGACACCGACGCTTTCCGGCCCCGTGGGGCCAGGAGTTCACCTGCAGGCTCTGCCGGTCATGCAGCTAACTGCTCCGTGTGCGCCGTGTGCAAGTCGGTTTGCGTCAACGAAACAAGTCGTCGGTTTTGGCCCTCGGAGGTGGAGTGACCCAGGGGTGGGCGCTGGCAGCTTGCGTGTCGACAGCACACGCGTCCCAGCGCTCCTGCTGGTCCAGGAGTCTGTTCCTTGGGTTATCCTCCGTGTCAACATTCGATATCTTGCTGGTTCCCTCGCTGGCTTATGATCCACGTAAGATAAGGGAGTTATGACCTTGCCCTTTAATATAAATTCATTCTTTGAAGTACATGGTTAATGCTTTCTGAGCAAACGACAACCTCCAGGCGGAGCAGGAAGTTTCTGTCAAGTACCTAAGTGAATTAACAAACCGATAGGCAGGGACACCATGCAAAGAAGACGCTATGCTGATGGACGTGCGCGTGTTCGGTGTCCACGAGCCACGGCAGAGCGTTATACCCATTCGTTCATTCATTCCTTCCTTCCTTCCCAGTCACTCAGGGAAGATGAAGGAGGTGCCTTCTGTGAGCCAGGCACTGGGCTCCTCGCCCCCATGGAGGCCGTTTGCGCCAACGAAACACGAATCAAACTGAGGAATCATAAAGTGAGCATAAACTTAGGGTCGCGACACCCTGAACTAAACTGGGACAGCTGCGAGGACCCCGGCCTCGTCAGGGCACCGAGGGGAGCCCCGCCCCTCCGACCCGCAGAGGAACGAGTCGAGCTCTGAAAGGTTAGGAGCGATCAAGCAGATGACGGCGAGAGGTCACAAAACGCGCAGAGGTCCTGTGGTGGGGACCATCAGGGCCAAGACGCTGGGACGAGGACGACTGTGGCACTGTGGGTGGGAGGCCGCGGGGGCGCGGGGGTCGAGGGGCCACTGGTCTTGCAGTTACCCCACTGAGGGCCAGATGGCAGCTGAACACTAACTAGGCAAGAAGCTGGGCACGGTGATGTTTATGGGTGCTGTAAGGAAGTGGGGGGGGGCGGGGTTCAGGGCGGGGAGGACGGGAGGCTGGCAGGGGACGCAGGCGGCGGCAGACCAGGCCTGTGGCCCGAGCGTGGAGGGTCACAGAGGGCCTCTTCCTTGCCTTCATGGAGAGCCGCTACTGTATGTGCCTCGAAAGGAAGGTGGCAGCCACATTCCTTTTTGAAAAAAATTCCTCTCTTCCTTCCGCAAACATCCATGAATCACCTACTGCATGCGCGGTGCTGTCTTCCAGGCCATGAGGCCTACGAGAGGAAACGAAACCGTGTTCCTTCCTCTCAAGACATTGAAACGATACACGGCCGAGCTGGCAAAGCGCCGCATGCGACGAGGCCGTTAAAAACAAACGTGTCCTCCACCGTGTGAACGTGACCGCAGTCACACTGTTTGATCAGCGACAGGGCGGACGGCCCAAGTCACAAGGCATCGGGCTTCTGATCGAAGAGGCTTCGAGAAAGGAGTTTGGTTCAGTGACAATGAGCAAGATGATGTTTCTTTCTTTTCACGGCGATGGTTTGGAGAAAGCCCGTCAGGCGGTGGCGGGGAGGGGGGCCCGTTAGTCCAGCAGCCACCGTTTCTCTCGCTGGGTGGTAGACAAGGACGAATGAGGTGAAGTCCCGGGTAAATGCACCTCCACACGGGGAAGGGGGTGCCGGAAATGGGGGATATCGGCAGAGGAAAGGGAAAGTACCCTTTTTTTTAGAGTTCATAAAATTAAGATGCTCGTCATAGATGATCGTTTTTGGAAAGCAGGAACTGTCTGTGCTATTATTGTCCCTATTTTAAGAGTCGAAGTAACTGTGGTCCAGAGCGTCACCTTGCTTCCCCAGAGTCTAAAGCAAACCCCTGAGCGTATGCATTTTGTAGTCTAGGACGAAAACGTACCTACGTGAAATGATATGAGAATAAATGAAAGAAACTCTACGATACAGAATTATAACGGCAAAACCTTAAAAATGTGTGGCGGTTTATACTTTGAAAAGAGTTTTGGAAGCACGCGTGCTGTCATTTCTATAGGTGGGGACCGGAGCCTAGAGGCGGGTGACTAACCCATCAATCAGTGTGTTAGATGTTTTATATACGATACTTTATTTCATTGAATATCTGCCTTGCCACCAATATCGGTGAGCGTGTTCCCGATTTTCCATATTAGGGAACCACGAGCGAACCCAGACATCCCAACGCTCTGGCGAGAATGCTTCTGAGAAAGATATTCGTAAAAGGGCACGTTTTAGCCTCGTTTTTAAAGCAGGTGGTATTTACGGAAGGATGGAGAGGCTGGTGGTCCAGGTAGGTGCGATGGCCCGGTGAAGAGACGAGAGTTGAACACAGTTTTCCAAAGACACTGACCACGGGCGTTCTCGTCGGGGCCACGGGGGACAGAAAGGGTTAGGAAGACACACGCTGGGCGCGGCGTGACGTGTCAGCTGGCGACTGGCTGTTAGTGACAGGCGGGGAAACGAGACTTTACAGACGGATGGGGATCCTGCTTCCGAGCGGGGAGCGCCACGTGACATCAGCTCCGGAGGGCAGG